AATAAAAACAAAATAAGTGAAAAAAAAAAAAAAAAAAAAAATATATATATATATATATATATATATATATATATATATATAAAAGTGAAGTGAAAATATGAGATGAGACAAATAGAAAAATAAATGTTTTTTTTTCTATATAGATCGCAAATATTTTTAATTAAAGACAATTTTATTCAAGTATGGTAAAATAATTTATGGAAACACCTAGTCATTGATGGATGGTGAAGCTAATGGAATAGTCTCCTTACTCTAAGGATCATGGATCATCAAGAACTCCTAGCCACCAAAGAGAAAGTGAACGTTCAAATGCAATGAAGAAGGCGTGTGAGAAACTTTCTAGATTGACTCACTCCACGAGATGATAAAGGACACTCAGTTCACTCACTCAAGGGAGATAAGAGAAGGAAGATCGAAAATGACCTAATGACTAAGGAAGGGATGTTGAGGCACAAAGACTCGCTCAATAATATATATTTCCAAAGTAATCACAAGGTTGGAGATCTAGGATACTTATAAAGGGAAGGAAAGGAGCTAGGGTTGCATTTGGACTACATAGTCGAGTAATGCAAGCCCAAATGCACTCAAATGCATCCTAAATGAACCCTAAATGCAAGTGTGACTCCTTCTCCCCTAAAAGACTAAAGTACCCTTTGACATAAAAAAAAAAAGTGGACTTTAACCTCACAAGTCAAGGTTTAAGTCCTAAAATAAATCTTAGTCTAAGTGTCCCATAATATAAAGGCAAAATGAGAAATACAAACAAAATAAATCCTACTATCTAGGGTACCAAAAATACAAGGGTAAAATAAGAAGTAAAATAAAAGATAATAAACCCTAAACTAGTAATATGAAGACTTAGGAGATGATCAATACTATACACTCATGATGAGCATGACTCTACACATGATATCTCCTCTATCATCGTTCACTCTCTTAACCATCGACCTAATGATAAGTCCCACCTGTAACTCTAAAGATGATCTTTCATCAGTATTAGAATCCTTTTGTAAGTACAAACCACCTGATATGTAAAAGTAAATGACTGAGGAATTAAAGACCAAAAGCCTTTAATCGAAAACTCACTAGTGGAAAATCAGTCTTTTACGTTACCGTTTTCTTGTCGGTCATAAGAATACCAAATGTAAAAAATATGCGATGACATTTTTGAAATTAATCTAAACTTTTTTACATTGGACCAAAGGGAGTCCGGCGTAAAAATTAAAATCTATGTCGGCTATGAAGTACAGTTTGACGTAGATTTCAATTTTACGTCGGACCGACGTAAAAAAGTTATTTTATTCCCCTCATTTTTGTGCGTGCAAGTGTTTTTACATTGTTTTCCTCTAGGGTTTTTCTCTAGCGATTTCCGGCAACGGTGGTATGAGACCTTTTTGGGTATTTTTTGGTCACGGTGAGCGGCGACGATAACGGCGACGAAACCCATTTTGATTATGAACCTATCTCTCCGATTGGGTTGAAGCATTTAGGTGTTTTCACGGATTGAGGTTAGTGCTTTCATGCGTGTGTTGATCTTTCTGTGTAAAAATGTTGTTTTATTCTTACATGAGAGTATTTTGACACTGTTTTCCTCTCCAGTGATTTCTGGCAACAGCGGTGCGAGACCTTTGGGCGTTTTCCGTTCATGGTGCACGGTGACAAGACCCATTTTTTATTCTGGACCTATCTCTCCGATTGGATTGAATCATTTGAGTATTTTTTGGACGTGTTCACGGATTAAGGTTATTTTTTGTTTGTCTGTCAATCATTTTACGTCAGACGTGGAGGATGTCCGACGTAAATTTACGTCAGCTAAAACACTCAACATAAATTTACGTCTCCCATATTGACGTCAAACTTTTTTCCGAAGTAAAAAATCTAAAATAACAAACATAAAATGTCTCTTTTGTACAACTGACTCCTTATATGAATTTTCTAACAAGAAAAATATCTGTTAATTCAGATATTTATGAAATAAAAAATATGTGTATATATTAATAATAATAATAATAATGTCATAAAAAAATTGGAATGAATACGGTTTATCTTTTCATCTAAATAATTTATGGGGCGATGATGTCGGCAAAAGTTCAAACGTGGGAACTAGTAACAAGTCACCAACATGGCGCCATTCTGGTATCTATTTGCCTCTTAGGTGCAAGTATTTATAGCCCTCATCACTCTCTTTATCTCTCACCACTAACACAACACAAAAACATCTTACTATAATGGCTTTCCCTCCCCACGTAGTAGAAGACTGCATGGGCCTCCTCAAACTCTTCAGCGACGGCACCGTTTTCCGCTCCCACATACACTTCCAAGAACAACCCTCACACACCCAACACAACAACCTCGTCCTCTTCAAAGACTTCCTCTACCACAAAAAATTCAACCTCCACCTCCGTCTCTACAAACCCAAATCCAACAACCATGATGATAACAACAACGACAATAAATTACCCGTGGTAATGTTCCTCCACGGTGGAGGCTTCTGCTTCGGCTCGCATGCATGGCCGCATGTCCATGCATGCTGCCTCTGTCTTGCTGCAAGCCTCCATGCTGCTGTGGTGGCGCCAGACTATCGCCTGGCGCCAGAGCACCGTCTACCCGCTGCGGTGGAAGACGGTGTAGAGGCGGTGCGGTGGCTGCAGCGGCAGGCGCACGAGAAGGGGGACGTGTGGGTGAGGGAGGGCGTTGACTTTGGGCGGGTGTTCGTGGTGGGGGACTCGTCTGGCGGGAACATTGCGCACCACTTGGCGGTTCAGTTGGGGGCCGGTTCGGGGGAGATGGACCCGGTTCGCGTACGAGGTTACGTGATGATGGGTCCGTTTTTCGGTGGGGTTGTTCGGACGAGGTCGGAGGTGGGCCCATCGGAACAAATGCTGAACCTTGAGATGCTCGACAGGTAAGGCTTGACAATTCAAACGCATTATTCCTGACCCGAAAAATTTTATGCTTATCTCATCACCAGGTGTCAGATATGGAAATGTTACTTATTGCTCATATTTTACATTTTATGAATTAATTCTACTCCATAATTTCGATTTTACCATGGTTTTGAAGACGACTAGTGGATTTTTATTCGGTTTGATTCGTTCAGAAAATCATTTCGTAAAGAATTGATGCGACTAGTTTAGAGTCGGTCAAAAGAAGTATCAGTAAAAAAATTGGTGATTTTTCAATTTTTAAAATTTAATTTAAAATGTTTTTGATAAAAATACATATGTAGTAAAAATTATAAGTTAAAATAACTTATTTTACTATTTATCTTACAAATATAATTTAATCATTAATTTATGTTAATTTATAATTTTAATATTTTGTTTTTTATAATTTATATTATATTAATTTAATTTTTTATTCTAAATGTAAACTT